GTAAAAGTAAAAGTAAAGTAAAGTAAAGATAATTTCAGCGTCCTACAATCCACCCACTACAAGGAACGCGCAGAAGGCTAATTTGTATTGGCTTACATGATACACCATACGACGCCAACACCGACGAAGGTGCTTTTTATCCATTTTCTTCCAGGTAGGAGAGTCACCAAAAAGGATGTAGGGTATACAATTTTCAACACAGGAAAATCACCATTTTGTTGCCATTTTCTCAAGTTTTTCGGCTTCTTGCAGCTCCCGTTGATTAGTTGACCCATTTGGAGTGACTGCGTGTTCCTATAAACTTTTCCAGTACAGAGCCATTCCAATCAGCCACTTTCCTTGATGTCTGTGCTGAGTTGTATTTTATTTAGGTAAAGAGAAGCCCATCCACACAGCAATTGTCATTTATTTCTTGGAAAAAGTGAGACAGATAGTCAGAAACAACAGAGGGAAAGTAAAGAAGTAGGACCTACCAGTAACGCCCTCATCCGTGCTAATAAAGCTTCATAATACAATAGTCTCCGCCTACGATCCCTGTGCTCGGGAGCAAGGAAAATGCAGGGTCTTAGGCGCACGGGATCTTCGCCGACGCATCAAGGGAAGAATCTACGGCGACCCAAGTAAGGCCCACAACCGGTAAAATGACCTCCCTTCACTCTAAAATGAACTGACGTACCCCCCCCCCCCCCCCCCCCCGGGTGGGTTTTATGACGTATGGCGAGCAAAGAGTGGTCATATTTTCACTTATTATCTTATCGTGACTTTCAAGATCTGCGCTTTATCCAATTGTTCCTCCTCTTTAACTTTACCTGTCCAAAATTTATAGCTTCCCATCTCTGACCGAGTTCCTCCGTCTTTGTCTTTACGCACCATTATGTTGTGACCACACCAAGTCTGTCTCGCAAATTCGGGAACAGAGACAACTGCTGCAATGGTCAGAGAAGAGTTCACAGTTCGATGTGATCCTGTCAGGAGCGAACTTGTAGGCCCTACCCACCCAGCGAGTGATGTAAGTTTAGGTGGAGAGATCAGATGCGAGTGCGATGTTTGGGGAAACCAAACGCGTCGGTCAGTTCACACCTCGGTGTGATCCCGTCTGGACCAAACAATTTACCCTTCATCGAGTTCTACAACGCTTTTTATGTGATCACATTCACGAGAGTGGCTGATCTTTGACGCTACGGGCAGTTCAATGATCTCAACTTTTCACTTTTGATTGATCGGCAGTGCGCCCGCGTTTGTATCTCGTATATTATGATACAACATGAGGGATCTCAGCTGAATGTAAACATTCAGAGTGAATCAGACTGTGATCTCAGGAGTGACTTTTGTGTAGTAAAAATTCTATTTTCTTAATAAAACAGCTAGATCTTAAGCAAACCGGGATCGTAAACGGTGTGATTTGGGCAGAGACTACTATGTTCGGATACTAGTACAGTTCTTACAAACAGCATCCTACATGCAAACAGGGGCGAAGGCTGACTTGTTTGACAGGGTAACCAAAGTGAAACGGGATCAGATATGGCCTGTAGATATCACACAAGAATTTTACTCGAGGCGGCGACTCTGAGTTGTGAATGAAAACAAATCCGGAATTCATATTGTATGTTCAACCGCCAAAATAATCGGGAAAGTATCTTATTAAATAGTTACAACTAAAATTAAATTTAACTTTAGATGTGAATACATAAACACAAAGCAAAGAAGCAGAGATGTCAGTACTAGATCTATATGTCATAGATCTACCAGTGAGTCTAACTCTTTGGTAGAACATGACAATTATCATTTTTTCAATTTCACATTTGGCTGCTTTTGTTAGCCTTTCGCGGCCAGGAGCTGGTGTCATAATCGAGGTCACGGTCTGATTATAGGACGTTAAAAAGTCGAGGAAAAAAAACCAAGCACAAGCAGCAGTCAAGAGATTATTAGGAGTTAGTTCCCCTCACATTTGTGAGATAGACTCGACCAGTGTTAGTTAGCTTACATAATCAGGGCTTGTGATTGATTATAACTGTGGCCCCAAAGGGGTGACCAGGGTATATGTGGCAATGAAGCAGCTTTGACTGCTATGCACATGTTCCCTTCAACTCTATTGGTAGACTCTTCCAGCCTCACTTTAAGCTTACTTAATCAAAGCTTGCAACTGCTTATGGAGTGGCCCGAGAGGGGTGAGGAGGCTATTTCTGTGGCCGTGAAACCGTTTTGAATGTTAGACATACTGTTCATTGTTGATTACGAACGTCTTTTTACATTTAAAGTAAGAGGTTTACGTTTATGGATGAATTTGACAGCGACAATGTTTCAAAATTAGGAAGCGAAGCAGTGATTATTTGATTATATAGACGCTTCGCCCCTGCATGCAAATCCTCGATGTTCTGACCAGCACCACAGAGGACGTCTTGTTGAATAATAACAAAGATCACTTTTATAGCGCCAACTTGGATAGTGGCTCTAG